AAGTATGATGTAAGCTGTAAGTTTTTTGTAGATGCCTTTTATCAGGTTGAGAAACTTCTGTTTTACTCCTGCTTTACTGAGAATTTTCATCATGACAGATGATGAATTTTGTCAATTGTTTTTCTCCTTCATCTACTGAGAGGATTTCTTTTTAAAATATGCTGATGTGGTGAATTTTATATTTTAAAATGCATTCAAAATCAATTTTGCATTCCTGAAATAAGCATTATGTATTACCCTGTTTATTTACTGCTGGATTTAATTTGCTAATATTTTATTAAGGATTTGTGTATTTACGTTCATGAGGATATTAATCTGTAGTTTTCTTTTCTTGCAAATTTTCTGGAAGATTAGTACAGAATGATATTATTTCCCCCTTAAATGTTTGGTAGATTTTACCAGTAAAGCCATTTGGATGTAAAGTTTTCTTTGTGAGATTTTTAACTGTAAATTCAATTTCTTTAACAGAAACATCCTTTATTATTCATTTAATAATCTATATGATCTACAATAATATCCCCTTTCATTCCTGATATTGTTAATTTGTTTCTTCTCTCTTTTTCTTAGTCAGTCTGGGGAGAGTATTACCAATTTCATTGATCTTTTTAAAGATCCAGATTTTTATTTCATTGATTTCTTTCTATTGTTTTTCTGTTTTCAATTTCATTGATTTCTGCTCTTATCTTTATTACCTCCTTCCTTCTGCTTACTTTGGGTGAATTTGTTCTTTTTTTAAAATTTTTTTTTGGTATTATTAATATACAATTACATGAACAACATTGTGGTTACTAGATTCCCCCCATCATCAAGTCCCACCACATACCCCATCACTGTCCATCAGCACTGTAAGATGCTATATAGTCACTACTTGTCTTCTCTGTGCTATAATGCCTTCCCCGTGACCCCCCGCTACATTAGTGTGCTAATCGTAATGTCCCTTATTCCCCTTATCCCTCCCTTCCCACCCATCCTCCCCAGTCCCTTTCCCTTTGGTAACTGTTAGTCCATTCTTTGGTTCTGTGAGTCTGCTGCTGTTTTGTTCCTACATTTTTTTCTTTGTTCTTATACTCCACAGATGAGTGAAATCATTTGGTACTTGTCTTTTCCCCCCTGGCTTATTTCACTGAGCATAATACCCTCTAGATACATCCATGTTGTTGCAAATGGTAGGATCTGTTTTCTTCTTATGGCTGAATAATATTCCATTGTGTATATGTACCACATATTCTTTATCCATTCATCTACTGATGGACACTTAGGTTGCCTCCATTTCTTGGCTGTTGTAAGTAGTGCTGAGATAAACATAGGGCTGCATATGTCTTTTTGAAACTGAGCTCCTACATTCTTACGATATATTCCTAAGAGTGGAATTCCTGGGTCAAATGGTATTTCTATTTTGAGCATTTTGAGGAACCTCCATACTGCTTTCCACAATGGTTGAACTAATTTAATTGTTCTTTTTTTCTATTTTTGAAATTTTTCTTCTTTTTTAGTATAAGCATTTAATTGTGTAAATTTCCCTCTAAGCACTGATTTAGCTGCATTCCACAAATTTTGGTATGTTGTGTTTTCACTTTTAGTTACCTCAAAATACTTTCTAAATTATCTTGTGTTTTATTCTTTGACCAATGTGCTATTTAGAAGTGTTTTGTTTCATTTCCAAATATTTGATAATTTTCCAGATATGTTTCTGTTATTGACTTCTAACTTAATTCCCTTATGATCAAAAAACATGCTTTGTACCATTTCACTATTTAAATCTGTTTAGGCTATTTATGGCCCAGAATATGGTCTACCTTGGTGAATATCTCATATATACATGAAAGGAATGCATTTTCTGCAGGCATTGAATGGAAAGTTTTATAAACATCACTTAGATCAAATTGATTATGTTACTCTGATGTTCTGACTGACTCTCTGCCTATTTGTTCTATCAATTATTGAGAGAAGTTGAAATCTCCAGACATGTGGGCATACTTGTATACAAACATACATACGTACTTATATACACAAACGTATGTACAATGTGACAATCAAAATTCAGTACAAATTATATTTTTAAGCTTTTTCCCCACATTTTGAAAGCACTGCATGTTCACTGTAAAGAAATTTTAAATTTCAATAAAGTACTCATACCACTACCCAAATTGGTTTTACTCTTTACTGTTACTTGAATGAAAATATATTTAGAGACACAATGCCACACATGGCCCTGGCCCAATGCCACCATCTCAGACCTACAGTCAGAGGTAAGCTAGAATGCCTGGCTTTCCATCCAATCCTCAGAGGCCATCAGACATTCATTTACCATAGTTCTACTAAACTGAGATAAAACTTTTCCTACTTCCTACCTCTCTGATACTATGTAGATCTCTAAAACCTTTCTAAGTTTAAGAATTTTAAGAATTCTTTTTCTTCCTACAAGATGCCAGTATAATCTGAATACAGACAGCTCTTACATGATAAAACATCCCTCTATCTAAAATTATACTAATTACTATTATATTCAAAATATGTACCAAGTGCCTACTATGTGTTAGGCACTACTCCTGGTGCTAAGAATAAAGCAGTAAACAAAGTAGACAGAGTCCCTGTGACTACTTTACGGGGTGGAGGGACCACAGAAGCAATAAGCATAAACATGTAACACTCAAGAGGGTAAAAACTGAGGTGAGAAACATAAAGCAAAATAAGAGAGATGGGGAGGCAAGGAGTGTGATTAATACTTATATGGTCAGGCAAGTCCTCAAGTCCTCACTAGTAAGGTTACTGAAGGGGATAAATCATGAATATTTAGAGGAGGAATATCGTAGGCTGTGGAATAGCAAACACTTCTTGGGGCAGGAATGTTGGTTGGCACAATTGAGGAACTAAATGGAAGCATAACGTGCTAATTTGAAAGAGATAATCAATCAGGCAACAACAGTTTTAAGATATTTAGTTCCATTTGAAGCTACCTATTCAAAGTATAGTATCAGAGTTTAAAAGTTTATGATTTTTCCATTTAAATGAGGTAATTAGGCCAGGAAAATTCTGATATTTCCTAAAGAAATATTTTTCAAAATTCTTCTAAAACCAATAGTCACTTGTCACAAAAGCTAATACCACACTGTTATATAGTTACATATTGTGTTTTTTATTTACCTCTGAAGAGAAAAATAAAGAACAATATGGCAATATGAAGTACCTATTCTTTCAGAAGACTCTATGTTTTAAAAAAAAGAAAAGCAGAACCCCTTTCTCAGGAAAATAAATGAACTCAGAAAAAACTAAAAAGTATTAGCCTACCATTACTATTTAAAAGCAAACAAATACAACTTTTAGAAGTCGATTTTCATGAATGGACCTAGGGGGTATTATGCTAAGTGAAATAAGCCAGGTGGAGAAAGACAAATACCATATGATTTCACTTATTTGTGAGATCAAAAAACAAAATGAGCAAAATAACAGCAGATTCATAGACCCTGAGAAGTGACTGGTGGCAACCATGGGTGAGGGGCTGGGATGGTTGGGTGAAGAGGCGAGGGGGATAAAGGGGGCACTAAAATTCTCAATCATAATATAAGTTGGTCAAAGGGATGGCAGTACAAGATGGAGAATATAGACAATGACTCTGCAATATCTTTTTATGCTGACAGTAACTGCACTAGTTGGGGTGAAAATTTGATAATGTGGACAACTGTTGAACCACTGTGTTGTATACTTGAAATCAGTATAAGATTGTATATCAACTATACTTCAATTTAAAAAGTGAATTTTCTTATTTTAATGCAGGATTAAGTCAAGCAACAGTATGACTTAAGTAAGTATACATACTTAATTTTCCCACTCAATCAAATAATTCTACAAAATATTTTTAAGTTCCCTTATTCTCCTTGGCCAGGGAAGACATGGATTTAAATTTATCATTTTAACCAACTACAATAAAATTTACAAGATGAGCTCCATCCAGGATAAAGTTTACAGCACTTGATTCACCAGGAATTACATCATATAATCAAAAATGTTAATTTAAAAGCCACTAAAATATTTAGAACTTCTTCTATGCCACATTTTCTCCGTTAACTTCTTGCTTAACTTTATAATTCTCAAAGGCTATGTGGTAGTTTACAGTATTGACACACATTCTTTATGTTACAAAGATCCAAAATAAATCTAAAAACTTTAAAATCGTAATTAATTTTTATTTCAGTTTAAGGAATTTTCTTATCTTCTGTTGAGATGATGCACAGCTAAAACTGAAAAGCCTGACAATACTAAATGCTGATGAGGCTGCAGAACAAGTAGAACTCTCCCACACACTGCTAATGGGAATGTAACTTAGCACAGTCTATGACTTATAGTTTACCAACCACAAACTCTTGCAATATACCCTCATCTTCAGATTTCCTGATCACAATTCCCACTACTGAAAGCCAAGTGATCTTTCAAGGTTTCCTTGCTGACACTTTCATTACTTTAACTCCAGACACACCATGTTAGTGAACCTCTGACTATTTGCAGCAAACCAAATACTGCAGTGTACAAAACAGCACTGAACACAATAACATCATACTGAAACCTAAAATATTTACAAAAATTGACCACTACTGCTGTAAAAGAAACTGTAAAAATAGATGTAGGCAATTTCAGGGAGTTTTAATAAATATTTATCTCTGTTTGAAATATATATATATTATATAAGTAACATAAAACTTTTTTAAAAAGTAGTATAAAATAAAAAATATGCACGAAGAGTAAACAGTGAAAAGGAGGAAAAGATGTGACTATCACAACTTTTAAAAACAACATTTAAATCTGCTCCAGGCACAAACTGTGAAAAGGATAAAATAACCTCAACAGATGAATTTAAAATGGTGATATTTACTATAGCAATTAGACTATATTACTTTTAAAAATTCATCCATTTTACATTTTCTTCTATTACTTGATATTATAAGTCAATGAACTTAATATAAAAGAAAGGGAAATAAAAACAAGAGAGAAAAAGGAAAACTTACTGGGATTGAAAATTCCTCTGCCAAATACTTCAAGGAGGCTGCTTCTCTTGCCAAGAACTTGTTTCTTTCTCTCATGTTGCCCTGAAGTTGTGTATCAAACTCCTTTCTTACTACAGAAGCAATGGAGTCAATAATCACAAGTTTAACTCCTTTTGAAATAATTTCTTCTTCCAAAGATTCAATCCTATAAAAGCAGGATATGTAAAATAGTAGATAAATTTAAGATTAAATAAAAAAATAAGGTATTGCAAGAGCGAACCAACTTAAAAACAATAACAATAAATTACACTTCCCTAAGTTACAGTAACAATTGTAAGTATTCAATAAACATAGCTTATTTCCAGCTCTTCTATACATACTGCACTCCTTTGGGAAAAAAAATATTTATGTTTCATTCCTTGGTTCTGCTATGATAGTGATAAAGCTCTAAATTTTTTAATTTTTTCTCATTATTTCCTTTTTTTATTGAAGTATTGATGATATACAGTCTTTTATTGGTTTCAAATATACAACACAGTGGTTGAACAGTTACCCATATTATTAAATCCTCAACCCTACTAGTGCGGTTACTATCTGTCAACATAGGAAGATGTTACAGAATCACTATCTATATTCTCCATATTTTAGTACTATCCCCATAACCAACTTATATGATGATTGGGAATTTTTGTGCCCCTTTATTCCCCTCACCTTCCACAGCCACCCACCCCAACCCCTCACCCATGGTAACCACCAGTCACCTCTCAGTGTCTATGGATAAAGCTCTAACTTTTGAGTAACTACTTGTGGGAGCCAGTCTCCAAAATGACGTCCATTTACTCCCACCTCCTGGTATTTATACCCTTGTGCAGTCTGCTCCCACACTGTATCAGGGTTGGTCTGTGTGACCAATAGCCTGTGATAAAATTATGGTATGTCAGTTCTGAGACTAGATTATAAAAAACTACAGCTTCCATCTTGGACTCTTTCTCACTTGCCCACTCTCTCAAATCACTTGCCCTGTGTGAGGCAATTTGCCAACTTGTACATAGCCTTATGGAGAGGCCCACATGGAAAGGAACAAACGCCTATGGCCAACAGCAAGTAAGGAAAAGAGGCCTTCCAGTGACTAAATAAGTGACCCTGGAATTATACAAGATCTTCCAGTGCCAAGTGAACCTTGAGATGACTACAGCCCTAGCCAACAGCTTGGCTGCAACCTCTTGAGCAATCCTGAGGCAGAAACACCCAGCTAAGCCACTCCCAGATTCCTAGCCCTCAGAAACTATGTAAGAAAACATATGTTTGTTGGCTTACACTGCTAAACTTTGGGGATAATTGGTTAATGATCAATGGACAATTAATATACAACTGAAGTAATTAGATCCAAAATATTCTATTCCTTTAATTTTTTTCATTTTTTAAAAATATTTCATCTAATAGGCTATAACTCATAAAGAACACGGAAATAATTATTTCCTGTAAGTGTAATACATACAGACTTTGTTTTCACTCAGAAACTAAAAACATGAAAAGCAAATATTAAACCTTCTAAGTATTCTTAAAATACCAAAATCTAAAATGGCATACCTTTGTAGAACTTCATCACAGCTGAGCTCCCGACAAAGATGAACTTTACTGCTTGTCAAAAGTAATTTTTCTTGAGTGTTAAAGTATCTAGGAAAACGAGATTCTGCAATCTCAACCAGTCTGTTGGGGGTGGAAAATAGCGCAAGTGAAAACAGTCAATGATATTTAAGGCCACATTGCTGAACCTCCAGTGAATTTTACTTACGAAACTCATTAAGCCACAAGTAACACTAGAACAAAAATAGAGCAGGTATAAGCAGCATGGCTGAATATATAATTTTTGAATGTAGCCCTCCTTTATAAGCTCTAAGAGAGGTTAGCAGTCAGAGCATGAGACCAGCAAGGGCTTTTAGATCTCATCTAATGTTAAGTAAGTAAGCAGCAATGTCCCTGAGGTTTATCTTTCCGGAATAAATGTTGGTTATAAACAATAGTTTGACTAGTTGCTATTTAAGGTATATCTAGTAAATAAGAAAAATGCTTTTATTTTCATGAATGAAAGAAATATATTTGAACAAGTATAGAACATATTATCATTTTAACAATCAGCTCTCAGTATATCTCCATGTCAAAGACCAGAAAAATGTGCTTTCTCAATTAAAACTTAATACATGCAATGTAAATGCTATCCAACAGATCCTTGGTAAACAGGAAATTATTTTCTAAACAAACAGATGTTGTCCAATACTTCCTTACAAAAATGATTTTCTAAACACTGAACTCTGACCCTAAAGCAAGACCTAATGCAGGGGTGGGCCTCTTCGAGTAGGAGAATGACAAGGTGAGCAGGTGCAACTGTCATCGTTAACACCACAAGATCTGAGGAGCAGTGCTAGAAATTTCAAGTATGTCTGGTTAAAAATATAAAAGCATAAATCTTTGAGTGTAACTATCTATTATTTAAAATACTTTGTCAGCCCAGTACTTAACCTTCCAACAGTGACTGGGAGGAAAGACTGTGAACACAAAACCATACTACATTTTATGTACCATTTAAAGACACAAAAGTACAAAGGAACAGTGCTTTCATTTCTAGTTAATGAGTTCCAAGAAGAGGTTGAAAATGTTAATGAGATTAACAAAATAAGTTCTGTACACATGCTATAATCAGAAATGGAAGAGAAAAATCTAAAACAGGAAATGAGAGAAGTAAAAGAAAAGTAGTCATTTTTATAAGGTATATTTTGAACAATTTGAAAAGAAAAGGCGCCATTAATTTGAACTAGAAGAAAAAAACTACTTTAGGAGGAAGCAATACCAAGAGGAAGGAGTTTCAAAAGATGTGTAAAGAGAACAAAATGGTTCAAATGAGCAAGCATTCAGGAGAAATGCTTGAGAGAAGCACAGGGTTTGGACAGAGGAGGAAATGTAGTAAGTGATGAAAGCAAGAAGAAATGAGATGACAATGGCAAGGGCTGAATAGACACATTTTGAAGGTTTGGAGAAAATGTAAATTCCCTGATTAGGACAACTATTTGCTGAATTTAGTGATAGTCGGAGGAATCAGCTAAAAATCTCTAACACTTGGAACCCACTTAATTTTTATAGGCTACATATGGTAACATCTGCCAGAAACGTGGAAGTTTTTCAAAACTTGGATGCCCAGTTGACTAGAAACCAGATGGAGAGGACCTCACTCACTGGCAGCAACAAGTGAACAGCTGACAGACAATAATAATTTTCTGCCTTCAACACTAGGCTGGGTTTCAACTAGAAGCTTGAGTGGTGAAAGGCTCTGGAACTTATTACTACTCTCCTATTCCATTAAGGTCCTTCAGAAGGAAGGTGGTCGATGTATGGACATAAAATTATTTCATGCACTGTTACCATGCTAAATCTGTATCCAATGGTATTCACATAACAATATGCTGAAATTTTCTATAATAAGTTTCTCCGATTTTTTTATTTTAGAAAAGATATAATAAAAAATGTAAATCAAAAACCAAATATAAATGTATTACTCTATGTGCCTTACATTAATCATAGCAATTTCTCTTGACAACGTTCATCACAAGGATCACTCTTGGAGCAAGCAACAGAAAAGTGCTCCTGGACACTAAACACATAAAGTTTGAAAGCAATGCCATCTAGTGGACACTTTTTTCATAAAAAGTATTCCTTTCAAAGGATGCAGTTAAGCTTCATTCATTCAACAAACACTTATTGAGGACCTACTCTGTGCCAGGCACCATCCTAGGTGCTCAGGATTTGGCAATGAACAACAAAAAAACCCAAATGAATAAATAAATAAAACCTTTCTCTCGTGGAACTTACATTCTCCTGAGAGAGGCAAACAAACATGTATTATATGTCAGGCAATAAGTACTCTAAAAAAAAGTGAACCAGGATGATGGACAGACTGTAACAGATGGAAACAAGTGCTATGTTATGTAAGGTGGTCTGGAAAGCCTCTTTAATAATTAGGTAACATCTGAGCGAAGGCTTAAGGGAGATGAAAAAATGAACCACATGGGTAGTGAGCCGAACAGCGCATAGGAAGAGAGAATTATATATAGCCTAGTAAAAAAGCCCAGATGTAAAAAGATGCCTAGGATGTTTGAGGAAATAACAAAGAGAGTAGTGTAGCTAGAACACAGGAAGCAAGAAGGAGAATAAAAGGAAATAATAAGGTCAGAGGGTTAGCCAGGGGCCAAGGTCACATAAGATCTTTAGGTCGGTTGTATTTTGTTTAGATTTTATTTAGTAAAATGGGAAACTTAAGAGGACAGACATGATCTAAGTTACTTTCTTTCTTTTTTTTTTTAAGACTCACTCTAGCTACCAAACAGAGAAGAGGCTAGATGCAGCAAGGGTGAAAGCTGAAGCAGCTGGTGCAGTAGTCCAGTTAAGAGATGATGACTTGACCAAGAGAAGAGTTTAGGTGATTAGACATAAACTGAACTCAAAATATAGTTCAAAAGAGGAACTAAAGGAATTTCTTGACTAATTGGATGAGCATCTGGAAGAATGGGATTGCCATTCATTGAAGTGGAGAAGACTGGATTTGTTCCAGGTTTTTGTTATTAGTTCCCCCTGTTACTTCACAGCTCTTGTATAAAAGGAAAGTTAAAAGCTTCACATTAGTGACCACATGCTAACTTGAAACAAAACATATGCTAAATGTAAAAAAAAAAGTTTTCCAAAATTCTAGTTGAAAAATAGCATCATAAATATACTGAAAAGTAAGTTTATGATTTCTCAAAGTTTCTTGTGCATATGTAATATTTTCCTTTTCATTAATTTAATATGTATTTGCTCGGCACTATGATATTCTTAAATATAATAATGTGAATCTATTACAGATTCCAGAAAATTCCAAGGTTTTTGCTTTAGTAGTAAGTACTTACAATTAATTTCCACTTTCTATCCCAAAACCTTTCCAGGATCTCCCTCCCCACTAATTTACCCATTCATAAATAATAAGGCAGCTAGAACTAGACTAAGGAAAACCTACCCAGAGTCATAAAACTATCTCAACTAATGATAAGAGGGAATTTACCTCTCCTATTGTTTGCCTCCTGGATCAAAGATCCAGGATTTGTACCAACTAGCAAATAGGCAAATTTTCTTAAGACCACATTGGTATTGCCTTCAGACTCAGCCAAATTCAACACTACATACCTCCCTCTCAATACACTGATTCAGAAAGAGTGACACTCTAAATACTTTGGTAGGAATTCAAGGGCACTGGCCCCTGAGAGGTGACATGCACACCAATATAGCAGCTCCTTCAAATCTAAGCTTGGCCAGTGCTTCCACACAGTTCAAATACAACATAAACCTCTCCTTTGTACACTTAGTTATAATATTTATAATTTTACATTTTTGTGATTATTTGATTAATGTCTTCCTCTCTGTTGAACTATATATCTCTTCCTAGTTTATGGAGCTTTTCTGATTTCATGACTACTCAGAGCTGTCCACTACTATCTCCTAAAATTCTAACCCTACATTCCACCTCCCCAGAACCCTAGGATCCCAGGTCCCAGCTCTTGCTTCCCAGGTTTGTTTTTCTCACACACACATATCCATTTGCAGTTCTAAGACAGAGCTTTATTTTCCTTTATCCATTTTATTTCTCCCAAAGTTCTCTATTGAACTTTATTGCTATTTACCATCCATATCACTTTCCCTTTAATTCTTAATCTTCATTTCCATCTTTTACTAATTATCTCCAATAGGGATAACAGTAGTCATCCAATTCATGTATACTGCAGTTCTCATGGATGCCAAAATTTCCATAGATAGGTCATTAGGTTAATATATTTATATATACAGCCAATGTATATAGAAGCATATAGTGTCTACTGTATCAGATCTTAAGCATAAGTCCAATAGGTAAAACAAACAAAAGCAAAGTTTTTCCTGAATCACTCAGAAGGGGACCCAGAACTCTGTCTACTTAGCATTCCCCTCCCCAAGGCAGTCACTGAGCACCCCAGGATTTATTATCAGACTATACTATTATCTGATTATTAAGCAATCTGGAGATAAATTGCAGTCTATGGTGAACAAGCATGATTAACAGACTATTTTAGATTACCTTCTCAAAGACATGTAAAAATAAGTTGGTGTAATACTTTAAAAAAAATAAGTACTCAGGCAACACCCAACATTATACTTAACAGCAAGAAGCTGAAAGTTTTTCCCCTAAGATCGGGAACAAGACAAGGATGCCCACTCTCCCTGCTTTTATTCAACATAGTACTGGAGGAGCCACAGCAATCAGACAACACAAAGAAATAAAAGGCATCCAGATTAGTAAGGAAGAAGTCAAACTGTCACTGTTTGACATGATAACAAACCCTAAAGAATCCACTCCAAAACTACTAGAACTAATACCTGAATTCACCAAAATTGCAGGATACAAAATCAATACACAGAAATCTGTTGCATTCCTATACACTAACAATGAACTAGCAGAAAGAGAAATCAGGAAAAAAATTCCATTCACAATTGCATCAAAAAGAATAAAATACCTAGGAATGAAGTTAACCAAAGAAGTGAAAGACCTATACCCTGAAAACTATAAGACACTCTTAAGAGAAATTAAAGAGGACACTAACACATGGAAACTCATCCCATGCTCCTGGCTAGGAAGAATTAATACCGTCAAAATG